GTGATCAGAATGTCAAATAACGTAAGATTTCAAATTTTTGGAGCCCGAGTTTCGAAACAGCACCCAGATTACTTCATTTTTTCAATAAAACTGCAGAGCATAATCAAATAATGTTTCTTCTATCAACTCTCGAAAAAATACTTACATTGAATGTTGAATTACTCAAAATCCGAAAGTAGCACGAAGAAACTTAACTTCCAATGGCCAAAAAAAGCTTGCGCAGCTCGTCAATAACGCTTTATACAAAAACTTCAGTCAACCTCGATCATCACGACAACAGAGCGTTTGCATTACTCTTTTTGGGTTGATGTTGGACCTCCGAGCAACTTCCGACGTTGTGCATGTTATTTTTTAACAAGAAGAGACTTCGGATTTGAAAATCCCTGAGTGTGATTCACCAGTATACTCCCACGGCAGAAAACCACCCCAACTGACACGTATTCCCTTGTAGTAAATATTCTGGGCATACTAATTAAATCTTATTCAAGCCTTCATTTGCAAAGTATATAAACTCTTCAAAGACCTTTCCAAATTAATAATTGTGTTTAGTAAATTAAATAAGAATATGAACGTGAAGAAGGATTGCTCTATTCAGGATTTGAGATAACGAAGTCTCTATAAGGTGAGGCTACAAAAGCAGCCTAGTTTTTGGCGTGGTAAGCCCAAAAATGTTTTCTAATGCAATTTTCTCTTAATAAACAAAAAAAGCTACAAGACCAATTTTTCTAAAAGTTATTCTCACAAAATTAGCTTATAACTTGAATCATGAGCGACAACCGTATACTGAAAATTAACAAAGTTTAAAAAATTGTGCGCCCGCAATGTTTGCTCAATTATATATATTCGCTTCCAGCTGATACATACGAAAATCAATGCAGGTGGAAAAAAGCAATGCACCTTCTGAATCAAATTTTCTGTAAGAAATACTTTTGATTTCGAAGCCATTTGTAATCTCAATATTGAAAAAAATGGCAAGATGAAGTGATTTAATAAGTGTCGATATTGATCTTATATAGTATAGTTGAAAGCTTTCCAAGCTTCAGCCTAGACTAACGCATGTTTTCTAAAAATAAAAACAGGCGCTCACCATTCCAAACCTTTCGGAAAGCTATGATTTCGTAACGCGATTTAAAGAGGATAATCCTTCAGGGCTAAAACTTAGTAAAATGTATTTGCATTTGTTTGAAAACAGCGGGAAAAGGAAAATCTCAACAAGTCTTCAGAAAATTATGCTGTTTTAAAACACATTATCCCTGTTTGGACTAATGAGCAAATGTTATCGTATTACGCGATATTAAAACGTTTGTAGTTGGTTTTCAGCGCAAAATAAAACAAAAGTCACGAAAGTATTTTTCGTAAAATTCTAGCAAAGCCGCGGGAGAATACTGAGAATACTGTTTACCAGATAGAACCAAGAAATCAGAAGAATAAACTCTTACGATAACAGTACATGCGAAACAAAGAATGCTAGAACTCCACAAAGTGAAATAAAAAGCCCACCTATGTATACAGCAAGTGCCTAACTTCCAGGAGCCAAAACCAGCAACCTGGAATTCCAAGTTTATCCGATAGTAATAAAGCTATATCGAGCATAGAACATCTACAAAGTTTGAATAAGAGCATAATTATTACAAATTTTCACTGTGCAGATGCGCTGCGAGCTTCGGACTGCAGAATTCAACGCTGCCGCGCGCAGAGGATGGAAACGAGTGGAGCGAGCAATTGCCTCTAGAGCGCTGCGAAAACAGAAACGAGCATAAAATCTTGGCTGAAAACAGCTGTGCTATGATATTTCGTATCTTCTCAGCAGTAAGACAGATGTGATTCCAACAAGCAGAATCTTGAAAACGGATATGGAATTCTGGTAAGCAAAGGCATGAACTGCCCCCAAATAAAAAAAGCAGATTGACAGGGAACAAATTTGGAGAAACGATATGAGCTCAGAATTGAAGGTCCAATCTTGGAACAAAATGATTGATATAGATAATCATTGCAAAAATATCTAGCATGATGATGCTTTCAATCACACAATTTCTTTTAGCTTACTAGAAAGAACGTGCAAAGAGGCTTGCCAAATCGAAACTAGTGAACTGAAAACTACGATGAAAGCAAACTAAAAATTATTTTTGGCTTTTATATGCCGTCAACGAAAGCATCTCACAAGCTATTCAGACATGAATTCTTAACGGATAATGGAACTAAAAAGTATGAGCTGAAAATAAGCTTGGCTAGAACGGCAAAGACACAGAATACAAATAAAAAGCAAGCATAATATCACACCAACTACCTAATCACCTAGCGCAATGACAACGTTTGGAAAAGAGTTCCGCACAACGAAAAGAAGAAGTTTAGGGTATTAACTAAATGTTCCATTCCGTCAACGATGCCGAAACTCGTGTGCAAAATTGCGTTCTGTTGCCTGGGCAAGAGTTTGTCTTTAGAGCAAGACCAGTGCATTGGAAATAGAGCACCCCAATAGAGGCCTTTGGGGGCACCCCGTTACTTGCGAATTACATGCAAAAGGCGATAAACGTTGGGAACGTCTTGCAAATTTTTAGCACTTCCGCTTCCTTTTCACCTTTCTTTTTTGGTCATGAGGAGAAGATCCTCCATTAATTTTGCTTAGGCAAAAAGCGCCGCGATAGGCAGAAATAATACTCTAAAGCTAATTTCGGGAACCATTGTCAGTTACAAGTAATGGCATAGATCGGAGTTATACAACTTCAAGGAAGCTCTTGTGGAATAATTTATACCCTTATCTTCCCATCAGTTGAGTTTCCGTTGCGGAAATGCCTTTGCAAATGGCATCTCGAATCCGTAAAACCCCGGAATCGCCATTAATATCCTGTCTAAC